TATAAAGGTGTGCCCTGAACACAAGTTGTTAGACCTTCCTTCCTTCTTTAGTTTTAGTCTGCCATCTAAGCACTAATGCTCCTTTTGCATGTGGCTGCCTTGTTAGAGGATAGAGTTTTAGAGCAGTGTCTCACTGTGGGAAATGCTGTGTAATGGTGATTGATATAGACGCTTTTATCTTTTCTTTCACTTTCGTGTGAGGAATTTTTTTCATTGTGGTTATTTCTCAGTAAATATTTGGAATAGCAGTAAGCATTTCTAGGAAATGGACCCAAAATGTTGGCGATTAGGATAATTTGATATGAACTTGGGTAATTAGTTTGTGGTTGCATTTTCTTTTTAAGATTTATTTTTAAGCTGGGTGTGGTGGCACATACCTTTAATTCCAGCACTCAGGAGGCAGAGGCAGGTGGATCTCTGTGAGATCTAGGCCAGCCTGTTCTACATAGTGAGTTCTAGGAAAGCTGGGGCTATATAGTGAGATCCTATCTCAAAAAAATTACTTTTATTTATGTATGTGTATTTGTCTCTGTGTGAGTGTATGCCACATGAGTGGGGGTGCCCTAGGAGGCCAGAAAAAAGTGATGCCTTGAACTGGAGTTACAGGTGGCTGTGAGCTGCTTGATCTAGGTGCTGGGAACCGAACTCAGGTCCCCTGGAAGAGCTGCAAGCATTCTGAACTGCTGAGCATAGCCCTAGGGTCTCTAATTTTTTAAAAACATTTGTAATGTATTTGTGTGTGTGTGTGTGTGTGTGTGTGTGTGTGTGCGCGCGCGCCATTGTGGAAATTAGAGGACAGTGTGTGAGTGTGTGGGCACTGGTTCTCTCTTTCCACTACGTGTGTCCCAAGGATTGAACTCAGGTTGTCAGGCTTGGTGGCAGTGCCTTTACCCACTGAGCCATCTCAGCTTCATAGACTGATAGTTTTTTTTTTACTAAAAAGGAGTCCTACTCCTTGGAGTTGAATTGACTCTTTCCCCTGCTAACACCTGTCACAGATGTTTAGTTTCTGATCTGAACTATCTCTGGCACAAAGAAAACACTGGTAAAAATATACCTATTGATGATGATCACCTTTCCAAGTGAATTACTAATACCTAATGTAATTCATTAATTCTTACATTATCCCTGTTACATAATTAAAGAAGAATAATTTAGCTCTCAGATCAGAGAGCTAAGACATAAACTTTTATTTATTTATTTATTTATTTATTTATTTGTTTATTTATTTATTTATTTATTTGTGTATAGATATTTTGCAGTTCAGGGCACGCCAGGACAGTAGAGGACAACCCACAAGAGTGAACGGCTTCTACCATGTAGCTCCGGGGAATCAATAGAACATCCTCAGACTTGACCAAAGTCTCAAAATACATCCACATTTATAATTTATATATATTTGAGACAAGATCCCACTGTGTAGCCCTGGCTGGCCTGGTACTCACTATATAGACCAGCCTGGCCTCAAATTCAGAAATTCGCCTGCCTCTGGGTGCTACCACACCCAGCTTAACTAACCTTGCTTTAATTAAAAGGCTATATAGTTGTTTTTATAGGGTCAGAATTAGAACCAGGTCTCTTACCACCCAAATAAATGTGCTTTTTTTTTTTTATAACTGCATTAACTAAAGTTTAATGCAGATGGTTTTAAATAAAATTTCAAATATTTGCATTGTATAAAAGCCTACAGCTTTAAAGCCCAATAGTCAGGAGGGAGTAGTAATGAATTTTTTCTTTTTTTCTTTTTCCTTTTCTTTTTTTATGTTTTTTGATTGTTTGTTTGTTTGTTTGTTTTGTTTTGTTTTTTGAGACAGGGTCTCCCTGTAGCCGCAGTTGGCCTGGAACTTGCAGTGTAGACCAGACCAGGATGGCCTCCATCTCACAAAGATACACCTGCTTCTGCCTGCCAAGTGCTGGGCTAGATTTTTTTTTTCAAGACAGGTTTTTGTTTTGTAGCTTTGATTAGCCTAGAAATTACTATATAGAAACTGTAGAATAGGCTGGCCTTGACCTCCTGAACCACCTTCCTGCTTCTGCCTCCTGAGTGCTGGGATTGCAGGTGGGCACAATGGACATCACCATGCCCAGTCTTTGGTCTTTTTAAGAAAAAAAAATATTGTGTGTTTATATGTGTATGATGTGCATATGTGGGAAAGGGGGGCGGGCGGTCTGGTCTGTGTCCCACCTGATACACATGTGGAAGTCAGAGGACAATCTTGTGGCACCAGTTCTTTTCTCCACCTTCACCTGGTTCCAAGGATCAGACTCAGGTTACCAGGCTTGTGAGGCAAGGGACAATACCCCTGGAACCATTTTGCTCATCTTTTAATTCGTTTTTTTCTTTTTTTGGGGGGGGGGTTCTTTCTGAGACAAGGTCTCCCTATAGCCCCAGCTGTCCTGAAACTCACTATGTAGACCAGGCTGGCCTTGAACTTACAGAGATCTGCCTGCTGCTGCCTCCCAAGTGCTGGGACTACAGGCATGCACCACCACGCCCAGCCAGTTTTTTAAGTTAGTAGAGTAATAGGTTTGATTATGCTATGTTTATACATACATGTCATTATACTTTATTCCTACCTCTTCCATGACTTCACCCTGTCCTCTCTGCCTCTAAACAGACACCCTTCTGCTTTCCATTGCAGCGTTTTTTGTTTTTTGTTTTGTTTTTTTTTTTTCTCCCCAGGCTGGTTTGAAACTCAAGATCCTCTGCTTCAGCCTTTCTGGGTAGCTGGGATTACAGATGTGTACCACTGCTCTTAGGGATTTTCAAATATCTGTTTTTTTTTTTCTTTTCTCCTTTAGCAATGAAAACCTGAGGCTCAAACCCATTCTTCCCCAGCATTGTGTAATATGCAGGTAGTAAGAACTGTGTCTAGAACAGTCCAGTTTGTAGTTGAACCTGCATACTGTGTAGTTTAGCATACCTTCTTTGTAAAGTGGTTCTCTGCTAAACCAACCAAATTGTTAGTAGTTTTCTTACTAGAAAGCAGGTAAGTATATGTTGAATAGGACTTCATCTCTTCCCAAGTTTTCAAACCGTGCTGCTCATAGTGGTAAGTCTTTAGGTTTTGGAAGGTAACAGACCTAAATTCAGATTATATAGACTTCCAGGATTTCACTAGTTCATTTTGTTGAGTGGCATGGCTTGAACTAGAGACTTTTTGGGGCCCAAGAAAATATGACTGACTTATTTCTCACAGAAATCAAAGGAACAAGTTAGGACTAGGTTACGTATATGTAGATGGACCACACCATGAGTTCATCTACTCAGAATCTTGTCTTTGACTGGCATGGGCTTGAAACAGATGGTTTCACAAAACACAGTTGATTCTCTTTCTGGGCATAGGCTACCAGTGCTTCCTTGGCTGGAACAGTGTAGCTAAGGGCGACAGCATAGAAGGGGGCCCAGCAGGTATCCAGGAAATACAAGTTGTTGTCAGTTTATTAGCCTAATTAAGTAGAACAGTTAGAGTGCTTCTCTACTTTCTCGTTTGTTCAGCAAGTAAATCTTTGAAATTGGAACAGTGTAATCCATGATTATGAGAACTATAGAGGGAAGTTCAGTTTGAACTAGTTCTACATCAATATGGGGAGTGATAACTGTTTTATAAAAAGGAAATAATGTGTCTGGACTGAATGAGAACAAGCCTAGGACATACATTTCTGAGCCTTTGGGGAGCCCTGAAGAGCTTGTTAAAGCACACTGCTAAGCCCCATGCTCATTTTTTATTTCAGTGGTGGGCTTGGAACCTGTGGTTCTGCATTTCTAGCACATGTCCAGGTTGATGTTAGTAGTTCTGGGATTACACTCTGAGAACCTCTAGTTTTGAAGAGGATTAAGGTGGGTGTAACTGTTCATTTTATCTTGATTAAGCAGGGGAAGAAAGGCAGCATTACATTTTCAGTCTTCAAAGACCCCATGCCAGATGTTTACAGTCAGTTTAACCCAACCCTTGGGACTACTGTGCAAAGCAGTCCTCGTCCCTGTTTACCACACAGCATGTACTTTTATTAGAAAGGGACTTGGGCAACAGGCTGGGTAGTAACCAGAGTACTACTTGCAGCCCCCAGAACAGAATAATTCTTACAGCTCAGATTTTACTTACAGGTCAAAGAATAATGTTGATGGACTATAATAAATGTGATTTTGTCTAATGCAGATGATATGTTAAATTGTATTGCTGTTTATTCATAACTGGTAGGTTTACAAAAGATGAGCAAACTGTAGATTACTTTCCTAGTCATGATTATAGAGTAGGTGAAGTTTTGACATATGTTTGCTCACAAAGAACATAAAGTGAATAAGAGCTTGGCTTTATGATTAGTAATGTCTTTTGATCAAAGGAAAGATGAGGATATGTTAAAGTGTTTTTTTAAAGTGATACCAATTATTTTATTCTATTTATTGGATTATTTATTTGAGACAGTCTTCTGTGTAGCCCAGGCTGGCCTAGAGCTTGGTTTGTAGCCCAGGGTAGCCTCATACTTGTGATCCTTCTGTCTTCATCTCTGGAGTGCTAGAATTAAAGGTGTATGGCACTGTTTTCAGCTGCCAATTGGTTATTGATCAACCCTATTTTAGAAATAAACATGCTGGGCTCATAGTAACATGCTGCTGAGATGGCTCAGCAGTTAAGAGCACTGGCTGTTCTTACAGAAGACCTGGGTTCGGATCCCAGCACCCACATAGCAGCTAACAACTGTCCGTAATGGCAGTCCCAGGGGATCGGGATCCAACAACCTCTTCTGACCTCCTCGGTGTACTTACATGCAGGCAATACACACATACACATAAAAATAAAAATGATAAAATAAAATATTAAAAAAAGAAACATGCCAAATGGTGTATTTCAGAAGAATATGTACTAAAACACGACTAAATTCTTGAAAATGCAAATATAAGATGTATTTAAAGTGCAGTATTGTTTACTGATGTTGTTTTTGAAAGGTCAACTTGTTTTCAGTGGAGCTCAGTGAAGTTACTTTGTGTTATTTGACAGAACCACAGAGTTATTTAAAAAAAACGGTGATCCATGCAGTTGAATTGAAGGCATTCTGGGGACACCTGCTATTTATTGTGAAAATCGTCTTTGATCTTGGATTTAAAGGTAAAGCTGGAAAGGAATTTACAAACAAGAAAAAAAAGAAGTTTGGAATTGGACTCACAGGATCTGGGCTTGGAAATGCCTCAGGTAAATCACATGGAGTAGGTACAGTTCAATATTAGCCCACTGCAGGAAGTCCGTGCTGTTGGTTCCACGGGCCTTCTAAATCCTGGCAGTTTGACATGCACTCAAGGCTTCTCATTTCTGCTCTCACCTAGTTGAGAGTGTGTATTCTTCCCCTACTGCCTTTTTCCTCCTTTGCTATAGCTTTGAAGTTTCAGGGAGCTTGACACAGAGAAGGTGGTACGTTTGTAGCTAATCTGCTTGCATTATGAGGACAGAATTAACTCCCCTGAAAAATAATCTGCACCCAAAGCCCATTTTTGACATTCCAGTTTTTTTTTCTTTCCAACTCTTGCATTTACTACAGTTCAGAAGTAGTGACTGTCTCACACATGCAAACACACATGTACACATATGTCCCTCAAAACATGTCAAAGAATGGTTCAGTGGTTCTCTTGCCTTTTGGGGGGTGGAGGGGAAACCCAGTTTTGCTATGTAGGTGAACAAACTCACATTCTTCCTGCTTCAGCCTCCCAAGTGTTGGGATGGGAGACATGAAACATCACACTGGGCAAAGACAACTTTGAGGCAATTACTGAACCAAAAACTAGAAGCTGATTTGTCTCCATTTTGCTTATCCAAATTTTTTTCCCTTCCCTTTCCATGCTTAGCTTTTACCTTTCATTTTTTTCAGTGGCAGAGAGAAATCTAGAAATAATAAGTGTAGGACTGTACAGAACTGTTCCTTGGGCAAAAGTACTCAGCTTGCTAGGACTATCCTGGTGACGCTGCAGCAAAGGTGAAAGAAGAGGATTTGGTGATCAATTCTTTTTTTTTTTTTTTTTTTTTTTTTTTTTTTACCCCTTTGAGGGTCTCCCTGTAGCTCCAGCTGCCTAGAACTCGCTCTGTAGACCAGTCTGGCCTCGAACTCACAGAGATCTGTCTGCCTCTGCCTCCCAAGTGCTGGGATTAAAGGCATGCGCCACCATGCCTGGCTTTGGTGATCAATTCTTAAAAGACCAAAGGCCAGCTTCCATCTGAAGCAGCCCTGTGCCGAGTGGACCATGGTTCACATCTCCTTTTATTAGAGTTTGTACCCAAAGTCTGGTTTGCTGTCAATTGAATTCTTGAATTTAGAGTTGTAAAATTTATTTTCCCAAGCTAAATTTTTCTAGGAAGAAAGACCCTACAGTTCTTGAAGGTCTAGGGAAAAATAAAAATAAGAGAAAACAAAACCCAAACCTGAGATGGATAGTAGCAAGGAAGAGAGACAGTGAAGAGGCGTATGAGGCCAGGTCATTGTGTAAACAGTGTGGGCATGAGGAAGGAAGCAGACTGATACCCAGAAACAGCTGCAGTAGTGCAGAAAAGTGAAGCAGACAGAATCCATTCTTTCTCATTTTCTTCATTGGTGTTCATTCTTTATTTCAGAGTGAGGCTTTTTTAGTATTTGAGTTTGGAGTATGAGCCCTGACTGCAGTGGTTTGGATAGATAGTAAAATGTGAAAAGGGGAGAGATAAAAGTCAAGAGATCATCCCTGCATTTCTGGTCATATCCAAGAGATTTAGGAGGCCATTCTGTTGTTTCTGTGTGTTAGACTAAACATGTCTAAATTGGGCTGGTAAGATGACTCAGTGGCTAAAGGTGCTTACCACTGAGCCTGGCCACCTGAGTTTGGTCTCCAGGATCCACATGATGGAAGAAGAGAAGCAACTTCTGCAAGCTGTCCTGACCTCCACACTCACATGTGCCCATACATGTACCCCACAACATGCAAGCTAAACAAACAAGAAGATAAATGTACAAAATCTTTAAAGATGTCCACATTATCTTTTTTTTGGGGAAGTAGGACATTGGACTCACTTAGGAATACAGTTTGAGTCTGACTTACTACTGCTGTAGGTTCCAGAAAATGGCAGGGCATTCTCTCCTTTAGGTGGGAATTAGAACTGGGAGTCTTGTTAGAGAAGAATTTGAAGAAATGTTAATACAGCATTTTTTAAAAAGCACTCAGTAGGTATTGTGTACTCTCTCTAGTGACTAAACTTTAATTTTTAGAAGTTAGATACTGCTAAGAGTTGCTATTCCATCTTTCTGTTTTTAGTACTTGAGATATTTTCCTCATAGAAGTCTACTGTTTAGTGCTAGTGAAAGTTCTGAAGTATACTGCACAGCAAAAAATATACAGAACTATTTTCTGAAAACAAATTACTTCATGGATTGAGGATAGTGCTTATTTGTAGTAAGTTGGTCTTGAAGTAGTCTTTAACTTTCTAAAGTGAAAAATCATTCTGTTGTAGCCCAGTGTTAGCGGAATGGATCCGCCTTTCGGGGATGCCTTTCGAAGCCACACCTTTTCGGAACAGACTTTGATGAGCACAGATCTCTTAGCAAACAGTTCGGATCCAGATTTCATGTATGAACTGGTAAGCAACATATTCTTGGTTTCAGCGTTTTTTTTAAAGATTTATTTCTAAAAATTTAAATATGTGTGCCTGCATGAAATTATGTGCACCATGTGGGTGCAGGTGCCATGGAGGCCAGAGAGTGTTGACCTCCTGGAACTGGAGTTACAGGTGGTTGTGAGCCACGTGATACGGGTGCTGGGAACTGATGAACTCGTGTCCTCTGCAAGAGCAGTGAGCACTCTTAACCACAGAGCCATCCCTCCAGCCCTTGGTTTCAGGTTTACTTGATTTAGGGTGAAAGCATTCTGGTGGGACTTTTTTTTTTTTTAATTTGTGGATGTCTGAAAAGAAAAGAATGTACCTGACATGGAGGCTAATGCTGGTAAACCTAGTATCTGAGAGGCTGAGGTAGGAGGATTCCAAATTTCAAGCCAGCCTGCTTTTAAAAAGAAAGAGAAAAAAAAAAAAAGAAAGAAAGAAAAAGGTTCCATTAGGGGCCAGGTTTGATTCTTGTGATCATGTTCAGTAATTTTGGAAGGATGTATGAACTGGGTAAATGTAGTATGTGAAAAAGTTCTGTCTTCAAGTCCAGTTGTTTATGAGGAGAATTAAGAAATTGTATGTGTGTGTCTCTGTGTGTCTGTGTGTGTGTGGCTGTCTGTTTAATATGCCCAACTACTAAAGGGAATTTTAACTAAAAAATTAAGGACTGATGCATTGTGTAGGATGTCTGGCAAAGAAATGGTAAGGTATAAAGCAATCCCAAGCAATGACAGAATGTACTTACCTATTCTTAAGGTAAATAAACACAAAATTCCTAAGAAAACTTTAAAAAATATAATTTTAATTATATGCAATTAAGCAACACAGAAATACAGAGGTGTGCACAAACCTACAAATTTACTAAAACTCATTGAACTCTATAGTTAATGAAAGTGGGTCATGGTCTAAAAACTAATTCAGCAAAGCTACTCAAACAGACAAAGACATACACATAAGCCAAACAAAAAACCCTCAAACTGAAATTTTAAATGGAATAAAGCAAACTGGAAAACGGAGACACTCATTCCCTTCCTGAGCCTCTACCCTTCAGACTTACTCTCAAAAGGTAACTGCTGCTAGCAGATACAAATCTATAAACAAACCAGTATGCTTTTTAATTTACATGATATGTACTTGATCCTTCAGTTGGTCTTTTTTTTTACATTTATGTATTTATTTTCTCTTTGTGCATGCGTGCCATAGCACATGTGTGGAGGTCAGAACTCACCATGTGGGCCCTAGGGATGGAACTGAGTTTGTCAGGCTGGCAGCAGGCCTTTACTGGCAGAGCCATCTCTTCAGCCCAAGTTTGCTTTTTTCCAAAATGACAATAGGTAATGGACAGCCTCTCAGGTCAGGGCTATACTTCATTTTTCTGTGGCTGCAGAATGTTAATAATTTTAAAGTCACATCTCTGAACTTCCTGAGAAGTATTTTACTTTTTTTTTTTTTTTTTTTTTTTTTGAGACAGGGTCTCCCTGTAGCCCCAGCTGTCCTGAAACTCACTATGTAGACCAGGCTTGCCTTGAACTCACAGACATCTGCCTGCCTCTGCCCCCCGAGTGCTGGGATTAAAGGCATGTGCCACCATGCCCGGCTAGTATTTTACTTCTCATGCCCAAGAATTTGAGGGCAGCCTGGTCTATACTGCAAGGTCTTACATAAAATCTTACCATTTTGTAGGTCAGTTTCAGCCTTCTGTGGGCTCTTTGCCTCCATATTTAGTTTCCTACTGAAGACGATTCTGTAGTGTTGGTAAGGTCTTCCTTATTTGCTTCTGAATTGAATTTCTAAATAGACCCCTAAATCCTCTAAGATCAGGAAATGTAAATTCATGAAGAGTTTATGGTAAAACTTAAGAGCCTTTGATGCTTGGACCCATACTTTAGTCTCTCAAAGAACATGCTTCCCCACCTTTTCTTGCTCAGGGAAATGAAGGTAGGTAGAATAGAGAAGTTTCGTGTCCGTAGCCTTTATTGTGAGAAAGACCAGAGGCAGAATAGGCAGACTTTTGGTATATTTGCAAATGAGGAAGGAGGTGAATATTTTCTTCCTAAAGTATGGTGTGTGATTTCCTTTTTTAAACCTTTCTTAGGATAGAGAGATGAACTACCAACAGAATCCTAGAGACAACTTCCTTTCTTTGGAAGACTGCAAAGACATTGAAAATCTGGAGTCTTTCACAGATGTCCTGGATAATGAGGGTGCTTTAACCTCAAACTGGGAACAGTGGGATACATACTGTGAAGACTTAACTAAGTACACCAAATTAACCAGCTGTGACATCTGGGGAACAAAAGAAGTGGATTACTTGGGTCTTGATGACTTTTCTAGCCCTTACCAAGATGAAGAGGTCATAAGTAAAACTCCAACCCTGGCCCAGCTTAATAGTGAGGACTCTCAGTCTGTTTCTGATTCCCTTTATTATCCTGATTCACTTTTCAGTGTCAAACAAAACCCCTTGCCCTCGTCATTCCCTAGTAAAAAGATCACAAGCAGAGCAGCTGCCCCTGTGTGTTCTTCAAAGACTCTTCTGACTGAGATCCCATTGTCAGAATGTGTCCAAAAAGCAAGTAAACCCACTTCAAGCACACAGATCATGGTGAAGACCAACATGTATCTTAATGAAAAGGTGAACTTTCATGTTGAATGCAAAGACTATGTAAAAAAGGCAAAAGTCAAGATCAACCCTGTGCATCAGAGCCGGCCCTTGCTGAGCCAGGCACACCCAGATGCCGCAAAGGAAAACACCTGCTACTGCGGAGCTGTGGCAAAGCGACAGGAGAAAAGGGGGGTGGAGCCTCATCAGGGTCATGCCACTCCTGCTTTGCCTTTCAGAGAAACCCAAGAACTATTACTTAGTCCTCTGCCCCAGGATGGCCCTGTGTCAGTTGCCACAGGAGAGACTGGAGGCCTTTCTGCCAGCACTTCAGTTTCAGATTCATCCCAGAAAAAAGAAGAGCACAATTACTCTCTCTTTGTCTCTGACAATGTGGGAGAACAGCCAACCAAATGCAGTCCTGAAGAAGATGAAGATGATGAGGAAGATGTAGACGATGAGGACCATGACGAAGGGTTCGGCAGTGAGCATGAGCTTTCTGAAAATGAGGAGGAGGAAGAGGAGGAAGAGGATTATGAAGATGACAAGGATGATGATATTAGCGACACATTCTCTGAACCAGGTATAACACTTGGAGACTTACCAAACTGAACTTTCTATTTGCTGTTTTGAGATAGAAGGCTTTTGTTTGGATGGTCGGCTTTATCAATTTGGTTTGGGGAGTAAATGCCTTAATGTCTTTACTTGAATATAAAGTTCCTTTTTTCTGTTCAAATAGCACTAAGATGATACTTTGTGCTTGCCGTGGTTCATATGCTGATTCCTTTGAGGGCTGATTGATGTTAAGTGACCTAATTTGATGCTCTCTTGAGCACTTCTGCAAAGATGCCAAAACTGTTGGTTTAAAGTACATTCTTGTTTTGCATGTGTCCCTCTACTGTGGCTATGGTAGGAGTGTCTAGAATGGTGAAACAAGTGATGGCGGTTCATATTACTCAAGCTTACAACTAACAAAGCCAACTTAATGAATCATTTAAAGGCAAGCCCTTTCTTTGTGTCTGCTGCATTTTCATTAATAAAATAAATGCTATGCCAGTGTGGTGGCATATGCCTGTAATTCCAACATTTGTGAAGCAGAGGCAGAAGGATCACCACAAGTTTGAGGCTAGCCTGGTCTACATAGCTAGTTCCAGCCTTCAATAGTGAAACCATGTCTCTAAAAAACAAACAAATAAATTTTAACCAGAGAAACATCATGCTACAATTTGAAGAGCATGAAGAAGGATGCTTCATTTTCTGTGCAGTGTATATAAATAAAAGAGAAAAAAGCAAACCTGGTGGGGAAGTGGTTCACTCCAGCATTCGCATGCTTGGGCTGTTCCCACTGTTGGCTGATGTAGTTTATTTATAAAAGTGGTATTGCCAACTAGCACACAGTTAAAATTGTATAAAGAAGTGAAGACTTTCAAGTTTAAGCAAAGTTATTTGCTTCAAAATTAGTATTGATACTAATAATTCCTCACAAAACCTCAGTTGTTAAAAGTGAAACTTTGTTGTCAAAGAAAAACCCTGTTGTTAAAATGATGATTACTAGAATGTTAGGCACTCTAAATGTTGATATTTAATTTTCTGAAACTCTCAAGACATAATAACTATAGTGTAGCCAGTGAAGTACTCTGTGTGTGTGTGTGTGTATGTGTGTAGATCATGAAAGTAGAGAGGAGACCATGAGAGAAAAGAAATGCTGGGTCAAACCCTGGGCCTCACACATGCCAAGTAAGCCTTCTGACATTGAGCTGTATCTACCCAAAGCACTCTTATTTATGAAAGATTTTCTCTTTTTAGTTAAAAAAATTTTTTTACATAAGAGCTTAGATTTGTACATTTGACACACGTGAGTTACTTAATTTGGGTAGAGTTAAAAAGTTTTTTAAAATTATTTTTATTTTATGTGTTTGAGTATATTGCTTACGTATATATACATGCACCCGTGTTGTGCAATGACCTTGGAGGTCAGAATTGAAATTACAGATGGTTGTTAGCCACTGTGTGGGTGCTGGGATTCGAACCCAGGTCCTCTGCAAGAGCAGTCAATATTCTTAACCACTGAGCCATCTCTCCAGCTCCAATTTGGGTAGAGTTTTAAGTTAGTAAAATGTACTTTTAAGTTTAATGTGGAGGAAAAGGGTTTATGTCTTTTTTCCTTTGGTTTATTTAGAAACATGGGTAATCTAGATAGAACTCTCGTTTCTCCTTGCCACCACAAATTTTTTCTTGGCACATTAGTAAAATCTTCATTGGAATGTTGAAGGGAAATTTGTCTTGGTATAGCAAGGATTAGTTTGGATAGGTCCCTCCCTGTTGAGATATGATCCTTAAAGTCTGACAAATTAGACTATTGTGTGAGACTCCTTAAAATTAGGGTAGAATGCTAGGGGAAGAGTAAACCCAGAGAGGATAGGCATTAACTAAAGGAAGTGGAAAGGGTGGAGAAGGAAGTACCTCCTCCAGCAATGCTTAAAGGTAGTAGATCCCAGGGAATCAGCACATCTCTAGATCACCAAGGCAAGCAAAGCCTGTGCAGCTCTTGCCCGACTGACTGAGGTTTGGCTTTTCCTTCACTTTTGCTCCTACTACATTCAGATAAATTTGACAAATGTATTTAAAATACTTAGTGTGATATTTTGATACATTATTGTGATTATTACATGGCTAATTAACATTCATCACTTCACATAATCACTTGGTTTTTTTTATTTTGGTGGTAAGATCATTTTAAGGCCTATTCTGTTAGAAGAGCAGTATTATTAACTACAGTCACTATGCTATACATTAGAGCTCAAGAATGTGTTTACTCTGCAACACAGAAACCTGCTTTTTTTTTTTTTGCCTACTGTCTCCATGTTTCTTCCAGTACTCAGCAACAATTATTTTTCCCTCTGTTTCTATGGGGAGTTTAGATTCCACATGTGGAGAACTTTGCAGGATATGTATTTCTGTGCCTCTGTTTTACTTGTCTTAACATCCATCATCATCTTGTCACAGATAGCCTTAAAGGATAAGTAATAATGTGTGTATTTGTATTTTCTTTATTTTTACATCGGATGGTGAACATTTCTGTATCTTGGATATTAGGAAGTATGGTAACAACAGGTATCTTTCAAAAGAATGATATATTTTTTCTCTTATTTCCTTTTCTTTTCAGCTATATTCTCAGAAGTAGACTTGCTGGATCCCATGTCATCTCTCTCTCTCTCTCTCTCTCTCTCTCTCTCTCTCTCTCTCTCTCCATATATATGTTTATTTTAGATGCTGGGAATTAAACTCATGGCCTGGGGCATGCTGGGCAACTACTCTACCACTGACAGACATCTCTAGCTCTTGGTTTTTTGGTTTTCTTTTTTGGTGCTGAGAATCAGACCTTGGACATTAGGTTCACATGCTAGACAAGTGCTGTATCACTCAGCCCATCCTCAGCCTGGCTCTTTGTTTTTTGAGATAGGATCTCACTATATACTTTATGCTGGCCCTTGAACTATGCAACCCAGGATGGCCTCTAATTTGGAATCCTCTTGCCTCAGCCTCTGAGTACTGGGATAACAGATGTATACTGCCATGCCAATTTATTTGTAATTTTTTTTTTTGGTCTCTTTGAGACAGGGTCTCCCTGTAGCCCCAGCTGTCCTGGAACTCACTATGTAGACCAGGCTGGCCTTGAACTCACGGAGATCCGCCTGCCTCTGCCTCCTGAGTGCTGGGATTAAAGGTGTGCGCCACCACGCCCGGCTTATTTGTAATTTTTTGAGGAATTCCCATACTGCTTTCTGAAATGTCCATACCAGTTTACATTTCTGCCAACAAGAAAACACAGGTTCCCTTTTCCCTGCCTCCTTGACAACAGTTGCTGTCTTTCCTCTTTTGATGACAATCATTCTGACAGGTGTGGTGTGGTATCTCTGGTTTTTATTTTCATTTTCTTGATGATTAGTAGTGTTGAGAATGTTTTCACATTCTTGCTGGACATTTGGCTATCTTTTGAGAAATGTCTATACAGCTCCTAAACTATTTGTGAGTTATGTTTTGGGTATTAACTGTCTTGTTATTTGAGGTCTCGGTGCATTTTGAGTGGATCTTTGTCTCCTCTCTTTCCCCCTCTTTCTTCTGCCTCTTCCCCATTTTTCCTTTTTTATCTCACCTCCTCTTCTTTCCCCTCCCTCCTCTTTTCTCCTCCACATTAAACTTAAAGTACCTTGTATTTACTTAAAACTCTACCCAAGGTACTGGATGTGGTGTGGCATACCTTTAATCCCAGCACTCAGGAGGCAGAGGCAGATGGATCTCTGTGAGTTCAAGATCAGCCTGGTCTACATAGTGACTTCTAGGCCAGCTGGCTTCAGGGAGACCCTGTCTCAAAAAGACCAAAACAACAACAACAACAACAAAAATCCCAACCCTCTACTACCCAAACCAGCGTCTGTGCATGTTAAATGCATGTCAAAACTTCTTTTCACATTACGCATTACTTAGTTTAAATCTTTACTATTTGGAGTTGTATGCTTCTGCAGTGAATTTTGGACTGAATGTAGATGACTGGTAGACCACTTGACTATTATTCTTAAATTCCATCCCCAGCATCTTAAATAAAAATTCAGAGTAAGTCCAGGATGTGGTGGCACATTCCTTTAATCCCAGCACTCAGGAGGCAGAGACAGGAGGCTCTCACTGAGTTCCAGGCCAGCCAAGGCTATATAGTGAAACCCTGTCTTTAAAAAAAGGGGGAGGGCCTCAGTGGGTAATGGTGCTTACTACCAAGCCTGATGACCTGAGTTTGATCCTCAGAATCTACATGGTGGAAGGAAAAGAACTGACTTTCTCAAGTTGTCTTGATCCACATGCATACTGTGACATGTATGCACATACTTAACACAAAATAAATAAATGTAAAAAATTCTTTTAATAAAAGTAAAACTTCTTGTCTGACACATGGCTGGTACTTTATATTTTTTATGTGTAGTTTTTAATACCTTTGCCTTTTGGCATTCATGCTAGAGTTAAAAATGTGATTTTTATACTTCAGTATAGGATCATTCTGAATTTGGCTGTATTCTTTTACACTGTGTTTTATGCTTTGATATGTTGGCTTATTTTCAGTCAACGTCCTTTCATTTCAATGTAAACAACTGTGGGGCAGGGATATAGCTCAGTGTTAGGGCACTAGCATAGGATCCTGAAGTTCAACCCTGTGTGAACTCTAGAAGTTTTTATTTGTCTGTGAAATTCTACCTTTCATTTCTTTTTTCAAAAATATTTTGTTATTTTTATTTTATGTGTATGTATGTATTGCCTTTGTGTAGAGAAGTGCACCCGTGTTGTGCAATGCCCACGGAAGACAGAAGAGTCTATCGGATCCCCTGGAACTGGAGTTACAGACAGTTGTTAGCTGCCATGTGGGTGCTGGGATTTGAACCCTGGTCTTCTGCAAGAACAGTTAGTGTTCTTAACCGCTGAGCCATCTCTCCAGACCTCTACCCTTCATTTCTGAAATACAGCTTTATTAAGTATAGTATTCTTGACAGTTTTATTCTTTCATAACTTTGTGTGTGCGGGATTGTTAGGTGTGTA